GAATTCTGGGAGTTGAAGTCCATACATCTTAAAGTTGCCAAGTTTGAAAAACACTGATTTAAGTGAATGAAATATTTTTAGGAACAGTTGAGAATACTGAACAAATTCTGATTAGATATTTTGCTCACACTGTTACTATGGCTACATAACTTTAAGAAATTGAATGGGGATTTAAAGAAACACTTAACCCATTTTCCTTATAATATCTTAAAGAGGAAATGCCATAGAATATTCTTATTGGAACTGAACCAATACGAAACATGGAGGGTGGAATCTAAGAGTTTTAATTGGCTGGAATAAATCAGAATTTAGTTAAGTTTCACATTCATTATATAGGTGGCCCTCTTTATTTGCTGGGGTTTTGTTCAAACTGAACAACCATGGATAATGAAACCATGGATAATGGGATGTTGAAAAGATATACTTCACACATAATGGAAAGGCCTGTTTGCCATTTCGTTCATGTGTAAAATATATAAAAACATTTTAAAAATCCTCCTCCAAACAGAACCTTATACCAAAAATCATGGATATTTGAGACCCTTTACCATAGATAATGAAGTCTGGTCTGTATATACTAACCACCAACTCACAAAACAGTGGGTAATGGAACCACAGATAACTAGGGCCACCTGTATTTTGTTTGCAGTTCATTATGTTGTTAAATATTGGATATTGAAAGCTGCCTCCACTATTTTTGTAAGGAACAACTTATCAATTCAGTGAAGAAATACAAGACAAAGACTTGTGTTCTTGCCAATTCATTTAAACATCAGATGTGGTTTAAAGGCAGTTACACTTAGTCCACATGCTTCTATATTTCATAGTTCAAAATTAGCTTAATCTCTCCCCCCTCTGTTCTTTTAAAGGGTAGAATAGACCAGAAAGGATATAAACACAATTTTACAAATTTGTAAATGTTTGAAAAAAACGTTTCATCTCCAGAAAGAATTTTATAATAAAGTGATAAGCCAATTGGAAAAAAAAAACAAATTGAGAGCTTACAAAGAATGTTCTTATTCTTCCTGACTCGCTTTACAACATCTCAATCCTACTCTGCATCCCTCAAAAAGAACCCCCCTCCAATCTGGCTAGTGCAGTTGTAGAGAGCAAGATGTTGCTGGCAGCAGCCCCAGGAACCATGACCAATGCCGAGGGCGCTTAGTAAAATTTAGATTACAAGATTCCTGGTCTAGTAGGAGGTCCTGTTATAAAAATGATTTTATTCTTGCTTCAGATTGAAGGTTATGTTTCTTTAGCAATTGGTCATTTAAATTTGTTTGCAAATCTGAAAACTTATATAGGATAATTAAAAATTAGTGAATCTATAGGCTGAAATCTACAGGCTGAAATTAAAGAACAGCATTATAGTTTCCTGTAATTTTTTTTTCAATGCAATAAGCATATTTTTCAAAGAAATACTTTCTTTTTAAAATATTTATGGGAAATGCAATTGTTTGATTTAATTATAGTTTTAAAAAGTTTTGGTACGGTAGGATATTTCATCTGCGACCTATTTTCTTCTCCCAAAATATATTAAGAGCAACTCCTTTACTGAAGTCTGCAGAAACATAAATTACAACAGCAACAATGTTATTTGATACCTCCATATGTTGCAGAGGTTAATTTTGTTCAGTGAGGTTAATTAGAAAGGAAGAGATGGGCATAAAATCCAGGGTAGCTGACTCAATCTTTTTTTCTCTCTTGAGTGTTGAAGTTTGGATAAAATGAAATTGTCATTTTTTTCTGTTCAACTTTTGATCAAAGATGTGATCAAATCTAATGGAGTTTGGTCTGCAAAAGAATGATTTTATGTCACTAGGTTATACAGTACATAACACTTACACACATACAAACACACACACGCACAATTGTAAAAATACTTTATCTTGGAGATTTTAATAAATACAAAATCAGCCAAATACATTATAGTAATTAAAGACAATTCACATTTATGGTTTGGGCATAAAGCATAAAAATTATACTCATCTATCTTGTTACATTTCCTCTTCTCTCCCTGAGGATTTAACTCCATACTTTATCTGTAATTATTGCTGGTTTTCTATCACGTTCCCACTGGATTTCTGCTCCAAAAAAGAAAGAAAGAAAAATCTTATCCTTCTGATGACAGAACTTGCTTCAATGATTTCATGCTCTTAGCATTTTTGTTCACGGGAATTAGGAGCAAAATGTAACTGCAGCTGAACATAGCATCTATTTTTGTAATGTTGAAGTTTATACTTTGTTATTGGAGCTAAATGAAGAGATACAGGTGTTCTCCAGCTTAGTCTGTTGGGATTTCTTGATGTTTAAGGCTTGCATGTGCTTCCAGAGTCAAACAGCAGCTGTGAGACAAGGATTTATGCTTTTCTCAGAACTTTGGGATTTTAAAATGTTACATTTAATCACAAGCTCAGAAAGAGAGCAAATGTTAAAGATGTTACATATACAAGTTGGAGATTGATCTCTTTTCCATATGAGCTAGTTGTGGGAATAGAGGGAACTAAATTGTCTTTAATCTTAATATGAATAATTTTATAAGGATTATGGTATCTTCCACAACATGATCATCAGGATATTTCTACTGTGGCACAGACTAATTTTAACCCTTTCTCATTATCCCATATATTCACTTTATTTTATTTTTGAGTGCCTAGTATCCAAAAAATCATTATAATGCACTATTTTGGATAATGTTATATATTGAATTGTATTTAATTCAACTGGGAACATGGTCAAACCCCAAATTAAAAATGTTTAAGCTCCACTGAATTTAAGTAGTTAAGCAGAAATTGATCTGTTCCCCCCCAATCAGCTGAGTTTAATATATTTTGTAATATGAAGGGACATTTAAAAAGCATTGAAATTATTACACAAAACTTGCTAGTTATAATTATAATTTGATGAGTACAGTGGTACCTTGGGATACAAACGCCTCTGCTTACGAATTTTTTGAGATATGACCAGCTCCGGCCCCAAAAATTTACTTCGACTTGCGAACTCCGCCTCGACTTACGAATTGGATCCGCGGCCATTTTCCCTGCTGCCACGCGGTCGCGGCTTCCTGTGGGCGAGATTGCGGTAGCAAGGAGACGTTTGGTGAGGCGTGTGGTGTG